CGTTGGTTTCTTGCTGATACATATTGGTTTTGCTTTAAATAATTCGTTGTCATGGATACAAATGTTTTTTCTTGACAAAGACATCGTTATCATTGAACAAAAGCCAAATGCATTGCACTGAAGGGCCATTCAGAATTTGGAAACAGATGCAAATGGATGCTTGCGGCGAACTGATTGAAACTGATGGAGGGAACTGTAAAAGCTAGGGCTCCTAGGACTTCTTGACACCCTGCACGGTGAGGACAGGGCTATACAATGAGATGTGACACGGTGAGGACTTTCGTTATCCCTTTACTCCTGGTGTCGCTGCACGCCTTGCAGGTGGTTGAACTTCTTCTCAAGCACCACATGCCTTCGCGGACTCCCAAGGACCGGAGGGACCGGAGATGGCACGCTTCATAAAGGGTGTGAAGATGAGTGAAGTTTAAACACCCCAACACACGATATGTAGATAAGCATGGTGGTGAGTCGACTGTTCTTCTTTATGCTGATTCTCGTTGCGGCTCTTCACTGACCCGAGGTTGATTTGATCAGTATCAAACAACCTCTTTCTCACAGCAAAAATCATATGCGGTGCAAAAATTCTCACAAACCAAAGGCTTCGTCTCGCGCACACGAATGGGAGACCCGGGAGCCGCATTTGGACGGCAAGCGCAACATTGGCGGTGACCGACCAGATCCAATGACGGATGTATGTTTGTCGCCAGAAGGGCGGGGACGGCCGCAACTACAGATTTGGGATTGCTTTGACAACAGTTGTTCACTGGTTTCGGCCAGACCAACTTGTACCAAGGCCTCTGAAGATTCATGAAGCAGATACAAGTGAGCAGCCTCTGAAACTTCCTCGCAAAACATTGCGCGTAGGGTTTATGTCCACATAAACATGCAGGTTGGTGTAGCTGCTTGAATTGAAGTCCCCTGTAAATTGCTGCTCAAGTATTCATAAAACATAATAAAACTTGCTTTTGGAAGACCTCCCCAAAAAGTTTCAGATTGATTCTATAGTTTCAAACACACCTTTTTGCAGTTCTTTTCCCTACACTTTATCACTCAGATGTTTGATCAACAGCCCCTCAAGCACAACAACATCCATCCCACAGTTGCCATTGCGCAGATTTACAGCACAGGAGCCAAATGAAGCGTCCTACAGCTTCCTGACTTGATGGTGACAGCAGAATAACATGTTGTTACACATGGACCATGAAGATTTATAACTATTTAATGTGATTATATATATATACAATATTGGCTCAATAGTTCCTTCCGAGTGGAAGATTGCAACAAAACCTATAGTTCACGTGGGTGCTGCTTTTGGGTTGAGTCTGACCTACCTCAACTTTGCCCTATCCTATCGCAACTACATATCTCTTTGGTCATGCAGGTAAAAGTTAAACAGACACGTCTTTGGAACTCATCAGTTCTCGCCAGCTTTTTGCAGTAAGGCCAACTGCTGACCGAGAGCGAGGTCCCTGTGAAGGCCAGTTTGGGTCCGAACATTGAACATGATTGAATGAGAGCAGAGTGCAGCGAGGCAATTCCCCATGATTCCCCGGTAGTATCGGGCAGCATGACGCAGCGACATAGCTTCTGAAATAGCTGAGTTTACGTGTATAGTTATTTGGCAGAGGAGTTTCAAAAATCGACGAAACAAGGGGGCAGCAGGTCGTTCTGGCGAATGAGGTGAATGCCAGGCTCACACGAGCCACTCATGGGAGCCAGTCTGGGGATGCACAGGTCAGCGAAGCGGATGTGGCTGAAGAGAAGGATCCCGTTCAGGTGTCTCAAGGGTAGCCGATGACGTTAGGTGCCGCCAGAGGGATCAGGCTGTTGTAGTTCTCGCCAAGGTGTTGAGGCTCCCCCAAGGTCCTTCGAAAAAGGATTGTTTGGGGTGATCCCACAAAGTTGGGAGAAACATATGTGATGTCTTTGAGCACGCCATTGTTGAAGTGGCCTTTGTTTGAGTGCCTGAGTGGCCAGGTATGTCATAAACTAGGTCAATCCTTGAACAGCCTCTTTGCAGGAATCTGAGGTTGAAATTATGTGCGTGTGTCTATTCTGTATGCGTATATATATAATATACAAATGTTTAGCAATATTATGCGCAGCTTCCATTGGGACCAAGAGCATGACAGCTGCGAACGATTGTGATGAGGAATTGGTTGCGGTTAGATAACAATAATATGGTCCAAAAGGTTATTTTCACAGGGAGTGCATGGGGGGGCCTTCACATGGGACCCTCTCATTCTTAACTGACTCTGGGGACACTCGTGATCTACTCTTTAACTACTCTTGGACTACTCTTATTAACTCTTAAACACTCTTAACTACTCTTGAGTACTCTTAACCTACTCTTTACTACTCTTGACTACTCTTAACATCTCTTAACCTACTCGTACAACTCTTAGCGATTTTCAGGTCACTCTTATCTACTCTTCACCACTCTTGAGCACTGTCGACCACTGAATTACTGAGATGGAGGAGGCTCAAGACGGGCCCCCCTGCAGGGGCTGTTGCGAACCCTGGGGTGATAGAGTCGCTTTGGAAGAGTGAATGCTCTGTTATAAGTCCACCTCTTTCCTGCCATGGGCTCTGATCAACAATGCCAGTGGGTGGCAGTGGACCTTTGGTGGGTATCAAATGTGACATGTACTATGCACGTGGGGATGAGGAAACACGTAAACAAAGACACAAGGTCTCAAGGCAATCATTTTATAGTATCATTTGGTCCAATATTTTTTGTTGGGTGGGTAGACGTGCTTCAATACTAAGAGTGGGTTAAGAGTGGCTAAGAGTGAGGGGGGTCCCATGCCAGATTCCCTGCAAATAGCGATGAAAACCTAGGGTCCCCCCCAGTAGCTACTCTTAGCCACTCTTAACCACTCTTGACTACTCTTAATGTAATGAAAACCTTAGAATTCAACACTTCATGGGTGCATATTGAATAATTTGACCGCAAACAAATATTTGTCAAAAAGTCATAATTGACTGGTCGCCAAACAGGTGTTATGTTGAAATTTAGGCAAAGGTAAATGACAAACGTTGCTAAAGGCAAACTGAGCCCCTTTGTCTGCTACAGTGTGAATGTTTTTTCGACCTACACTGGGTTGGACGGGCAATACGAAGTGGTCACTGCGCAGAAAACAAACCAATGCAACAGCAATCTTGAAGGGATCTTAAAGAAGAACCTTTGGAAAGAGTCTTGGCTGTATTCTCAAGAGTGAGGGTCTCCCATGGCAGGGGGTCCCATCAACCCTCCCTGATATTTTTGCAATGTAGAACCTCGCAGGAACTGCTGCTGTGAAGGAACATCATCATTGTCCAGATTCCAGATTGTATTATGTTCTGTCTGGATGTATCTAGAATTTCTTCATGATGTATATGGATTAGACTCAGGAATTCCCTCGCCGGGCATCGATGGTGGACAGTCATGAATTTGGCGCAAAAATATCTCGATCACCCGACTGAAGGCAACTGTTGCAGAGGATGACAACCTGCAAGCCGCTGCCGACATCGAGGCAAGTCTGTGGGATGCTGGCGGTGGTTGTATGATGCTGCTGCAACTTCCCTTTCAATACAATATAGTTATCTACCTAGGAAACATAAAGATGTTGAGAATTGTTGTTTGATCTTTTGTTTGCATGTCATTGCGTAGCTTAGATGCAAAAGAAAAGCGATTAAAAAATGCATGGATTGGCCATTTGCGTTTTCAGTCTCGATGTTTTTTGGAGACATTTGTGCGAGCTGCGCTGTTGACAAGTAATCAATTTCAAGTCAAACTTGATGTTTTTGAGTATTGGAGGCAAACATCAACTTTTTTGTTGCAACTAGTACATCTATACTGCAAATATTCAATGGATCAAGAGGATACAGAGCACCTGAAACCAGGTGAAAACAAAGAACCAAACAAACCAAAACTATAGAGACAGGAGCCATGAGGGGCATGGTAGTTTCTTCAAAGATCCAGGTGTTTTTGTTCGTTTGAGGCTCTCATGGAGCCTTGCACGTGGCTCAGGCACCGGAGCCACGCGTGGCGGATCCCGACGCTCTGCCGGAGCAACGGGGAAGCGTCCAAAGCGCCCAGCCCATCGAGGCGGAGTCGGCGGACCCCAGTCGGATCGACGAGGCGGAGCAACCAGCGGAGGCGGAGGCACCAGCGGAGGCGGAGGCGGAGGCGCCAGTGGCTGACGCGGCTCGTTTGCATGAAGGCATGAAATCCATGCGTTTAGCATCGTTCATAAGTTGCCGGTGCTTGTAGATTCTTCAAGAAAGGCGTATGTATATAGCAACTTCTGTCAGGGATCTAGGTTCAGACACCTCTAGAAAATTCTAGAAAGACATGTGTGAAAAGCTCATTAATGTCCTGCAGCTGCAAACCAGTGTGCCAAGCCAAGTCACCTATGTTGTTGATGAGAAAGTTCAGCATATTTGCCGCAAAAGGTCCTTCCAAAGTGTGGGGTGACAAGGGACCTCGAGAAGCTTCAGGGGCCCAGCTTTCCAAGGTACTCACTGAGGAAGGCGGGCAGGGAGGGGCGCTGTTGAGAGAATTCAGAAGGGCTATCAGTTGAAATCCCACACTTGTGAGTCACTTTTGTATCCCTTGGATAGGTGTAACATGGTGTCACCACTCCAATCAGGCACTGTCAGTTGTCCAAAGTGCCTTGAAGTGCCTTGAAGTGCCCTGCATGCCTTGCACGGTGTGAGGTGATGCGGGCCCTTTGGTCACAGACCTTGTACCAACCTTTTCTGGCCCAGTTCTCCGAAAAGAGGTGCCGCGGGCACGCTGCCCCAAGGAGCAAGACCAAGCGAAAGACGTCGTGGTGTTTTTCTTTTGCACCATCGTGCTTGAAAACACTGAACACTGCAGTGTAAAACACTTTACGATATCCCAAACATATCCATATATATATATATATCCTCAGTATTTGGTCCTGGGCTGGTTCAAGAACTTCGCGCGGTCGTCCCCGGAGGAAGCTGCGACGCCGGCGCCAAAGATTGCGCCGATGGCGCCGAGTGGTGCGCAGAAGACTGTGAGCCCAGTGGGCGGAAACTCCATCAGAAGTCCGGTGGCCTCAGTCTTAGCATGTTTTGGCTGACAGAATATGACAGCTGTGTTGAAGAAAATGGAGTTGATGGACCTCCAAACCCAGGTGTCCTTTTGTCTTTAAACTCACAAGAGTCCCTGGTTTTGCTCCGCTGGCAGATTGAGACAATCCCAAACCGGCGACCATCCAGACACCCAGGTGCAGATGCCAACACCAAGTGCACAAGCGAGCTGGACCGGGCCAGGCATAAATGAGCTGGATATGGCCAGACCATGACTTCGAAAGTGGGAAGTTTCGTAATGAATGAGCTTTTTGTTCCTAATTTAGCTGCGGGAGCCCACATTGCGAAGCTTTAAGGAAGCATTTCAATAGATAATTGGAATAGTGCAGGTTAAAGCTGTTGGTGTTTACGTTGGATTGGAGCCTAAACATAGGGAAACTTAGTAAATCTATAGATTGGTACCTGACCAGACCAACACCCTGTGATTTTGCGCCTCAATGGGCAGCGTCATTGAAACTGGCCAGGCTTCGGATCGCAAAGCCATCAAAGATACCCCGTCCAAGCCAGGCACTATGGCCATGGCCATCCTGCCGTTCCCCATCCAAGCCATCCAAGCCATCCGAGCCCAAGCCATCCCCATCCCTCTCAGCCTCCAAGCCATCGGGCTTATCCCTACAACCCAAACCAACAAGCTCAACCCAGCTATAACCGCCAGTCTTTTCCCTTTCGTTCAAATGTTCCAGAGCAGACGAGGTGCAGAGCTGCAGAGTGGGTGGGCGAAGGAATGCACGACATGATGCAATATGTATATGTGTGTAGAATACGTGTATATATATATATATATTAACAGAGTTTTGGCAGTGCTTCTTCATAAAGTTTACATGCGTTGGAGACTGTCCAATGTTGTTTCTTAGATACAATTGCAAAAGACATGACTACTACCACCACAGGCTTGCTCCATGCATCCCCACATATCCCTACCATTCATGAGTGGGTCGAGCTCCATATGCCAGAGTTATATAGACGTAGATGCCTGGACGGCAGGCTCCACTGATCCGATATTAACCACTAAACAATACAACAAGGCCAAAGGAGAAGGAACCCTTGGAATGGCATCAGGAACTGTCAGGAACCCTCGAGGAGGAACTCGACCGGGTCGCAGAGGCCGAAAGCAAAGACCAAGATGCCGAAGCCGAAAGTGGAGTCGAGCGACAGTGAAGAAGCAGAACCCTGGCCATGTCATAGAGGGTCACTCCTGGAGGGAATAAATGGGCTAACCCAGCGCCATTCCAGCTTCCACTTGGGTGAGCTGTGTTGTTACAGAGGTGGTGTGCATGTTGCTTGGCTTTAGTCAGGCCAGTCAGAACACAGCTTTGAACTTGGAACCTTTTCCATCCATGATGTGGTTGCGGTGCATCTTTGGGGTTATATACTTCCATGCAGGACGGCAAAGTATGAAAGAACCCTGGCGACCTTCGGTCCTAAGTCCTGTTCCGCATGTATATGGGCTGAGGCCCTGTTTCATTTGGTGTTTCAGTGTTTCATAGTGCTTTCCCTACGTACGCTACGCTGAGGGCAGCCAGAATGAAACACCCAAGGCCCAAGACCCAAGGCTGGTTGCGGGCATCCCATTGGTCATGCACGGACGGTCAGGAGTTGTGATGACTTGATTCTGCAAAATGTTGCAAGTCTCCAATGTTGTATTTGCTTTTACGATTTATGCATATTTATGCTAGAGTCACATGAATGATGTGTCGATCAATATATGTTTGTCGGTCATTCTTGTTCACATGTACCTTCTTTGACCTTGTGACCTTTCACTTGCCCATTCTGAGCAGCCTAGGACCTCGGCCCCCGCGTGCGCAAAGCCATGAAGCAGTTTCCCAGCTACAGCGGAGAGATGCCACCTCCAGAGGTGCCGCTGCGAACCGGCCATTCCCAGAATATACAAAGGAAGAGTTTAATGCAACCGTAAGAATCACTGATAATCACTGGATTCTTCCATACCCTTTTCTTTCTCGATGGAGCATAATAATCTTGTAGAACTGAGTCCAATCTATCTCAAATTCACTGAGCTTGCGCAGGCTGAGTCCACCTGGTCAGATCAGGAGCAGCGATAGTTCTCTGAAGAATTTGCTCTTGGGGTCTGAAAATGGAAGACCTCTTTTGAACCGATGAGGTGTTCAATATGATCATGAGATGATGATCTTCTTAAAGTTGTGGGGACCTCATATTTGAGATTGGGTTCATTCTGTTGCTGACCCTCAGCAAATTGGTGCAGTGCTGGTTGTTCTGCGTGTTGCTTTTTCACGCAGGAGCTTTACAACTATTTCTTTTCCAGTGGCTTTATCAAGCCTAAGAAGAAGACCAGCAAGCCCAAGCCAACTCCGCAGCAGATGGAGCACTACTATTCAGTGCTGAATCTCAGGTGGGCCACGCCATACACAGCCAGTTTGCAGAGAATGATTTAAACTTTTGACATTTGCATGAAAACATAGTACCTAATGGTGCAAAAACTCGCCCAAGCAGTGGCCTAAGAAGCATGTGAGGCCCGGTGCAAAGGCAGCAGCCATCAAGAAGTCCTTTCGGCAGTTGGCTCTTCGCTTCCATCCCGATAAGAATCATGACAGCTGCTTGTCGAACTCAAAGACCTGCTCCTACTTAGCGGAAATCCGTCCAAAAACCATCGAATTTGCCCGACTGTCAGGGTTGACATGGAGTGGCCCCGAGAACTCAGAGCGATCAATAAGTATAGATCATCACACTCTCTGACTGTGTTGGAATTGTTTGGAAGGTTCTTCCTTTATTGTGTTTCCTCCCATAGCCCGAGGTTCGGAAGCCACCACAAAATTCCAAGAAATCACCGAGGCGCAACACGAAACTTGGGGAAACGTTATTGGGGCTGGAGGTCTGAGGGAGGGACGACATGATGCAAATCAGGCCTATGAAATCATTTGCCGAACATTAAAAAATAGAATATCCAATGAGAACGAAAAAATATGATCAATGTATATATATGGAATATGTTTATTTAAAAAAATATCTAATCTTCAAAATAATCATATATAATTTATTTAAAATATATGAACAAATATATTCCAAATATATTGTTGAGATATATTTAGAATGGAAAACATAATATATATATAACTTAATTAAAAAAATATATATTAAATATATATATATATATTAGTTATTTATTTAATTAATAGAATTATTATTGATGTAATTATTCAATTAATACATTTGTTTGATTTAAATAGTTTTTTTGATGGGAATTATATTGCCGTGAATAGGTCCGTGGTTTAGCTAATTTAGGAAATGGATAGGGCACAATTGCATTTGTAAGGATATTTATACTTACGAATATGGAATTTCGTTTTAAATTAGCGTATTTATGGGCCAAATTTATGATCCGACACATGTTTTATATATGTTAATTATAATGAAGGTTATGGATTCATTAACCGCAAATGAAACGATACATGATCCGCATGTTGCTTCGTCCGTTGTGTAGGTACATAATTGAGGTTGAATAGCATGAATCTGCTCCCATAATTACTTTACTTCGAGTGATCCCCACCATGATATTTCAATCATTTGACTTGATGACATAGTGAGGAGCATGTTGCCATGGTCGTGAATGTTGTAGTTCTCGATTTTGCTTGTGGGTCCTCGAGTTGTGTGCTGCGGTTGTGTGTTGTGTTTGTGATTGTGTGTTTGTGGTTGTGTGTTTGTGATTGTGTGTTTGTGGATGTGTTTGCGGTTGTGCTTGTGGCTGTACGTTTGTGGCTGTGTCTTTGTGGTCGTGTTGTTGTGGTTGCGTGTTTGTGGTTGTGTGTTTGTGGTTGTGTTTGTGGTTGTGTGTTTGTGGTTGTGTGTTTGTGGTTGTGTTTGTAGTTGTGTGTTTGTGGTTGTGTTTGTGGTTGTGTGTTTATTGTTGTGTCTTTGTGGTTGTGTGTTTGTGGTTGTTATGTTTGTGGTTGTGTGTGTGGTTGTGTTTGTGGTTGTGTGTTGTGGTTGATTGTGTATTTGTGATTGTGTGTTTCTGGTTGTGTTTGTGGTTGTGTGTTTGTGATTGTGTGTTTGTGGTTGTGTCTTTGTGGTTGTGTTGTTGTGGTTGTGTGTTTGTGGTTGTGTGTTTGTGGTTGTGTTTGTGGTTGTGTGTCTATTGTTGTGTGATTGTGGGTGTGCGTTTGTTGTTATGTTTGTGGTTGTGTGTTTGTGGTTGTGTCTTTGTGGTTTTGTTGTTGTGGTTGTGTGTTTGTGGTTGAGTGTTTGTGGTTGTGTGTTTGTGGTTGTGTGTCGATTCTTGTGTTTGTGGTTGTGGGTTTGTGGTTATGTGTATGAATTTGAGGTTGTATTTGGGTGCATATTACGATTGCGATTCGGAATTGATTAGTTAAAATTGATGAAATAGATTGGCGAGGAAGGAAGCAAGGCGGAAGGAAGGAAGGAAGATTTGGTAAATGGGAAATTATTGGGTCTTGTTAATTTCTTTATGAAGCAAGATTAAATTGATATTTATCTAAGTATCTACAGAAGAATCGACCTGATTCTGCAATGGTAATGAATGACAAATTAATTATATTCGAAAACCCCCTAAATAATTTGTAATATATTGGATATACTTGCTATTGCCCGATTTGTCTTATATAAATTGGTCTTAAGACTCTTTATATATATGCTAGGAAAAAACCATTAACATTTCTTTTTGCGTTCGAATACGACGTGCTTCTAGGGGAATTTGCATGTAAGCACTGCTACAGCGTTTTTACGATGGATATAGCTATTGATCGACGACTGCTAATTTCGTGGATTGTTGCGGATATCAAACCAGATATTCATTCATTATTTGAGTCACACGCCGTCCTTTGTATTACAGCTTTATATTCGATGGTATGTAACATTAATCCGATTACGAACCATATATTGAAAATTATGTTTATTATTCTGAATCGCCTGGCTAAATTTAGGATTAGGAGTGCTCACATATGGGGCAACTGTAATTAGTGGTGTGTTGCAATCTCCTGCAATGAAAAACATATAATTCTTGGGAATATGGCTTGCATAATGTGTGAGGGCAACTAAAAATTTGGTACGATCATGAAATAAGATTTATCGATCTTTCAAGGTATTCCAAGGATATTGATAAATATACAATATATCATGAATCCTAGTCAAGTGCAATCGAACATGTATGAATCTGCGTGGACATAGCTCTGCCAATTGATCAGGACGGAGAAGACGGCGGCGAATCATACAAAGAACCGTATTTCTTTGGTTGGGTGAATACAGCATATACCAATTCCCGGCTTCCCATTAATTGGAGAATCGTCAACCAATCTCCTATAGCAATTTTATATCATACGGATTCTGTGAATTCCAATCCAACCATTTATCAAATTATAAACCATTGGATGCATTCCAGCAAAGCACTTTCAATATATCGACGCATAAAGTCTGCTAATGCTCAAGTGTAATCTTTAACGAAAATGCCTTGAGGTCCTTGGTTAAAATCAAAACCAATAAATAAACAATAAAAAACATAAAAATAATCAAAATATATAATACATAATTACCATAAACTAAAATAACATTTCCATATTATCTATATATATAATATATAATACAATATCATTCATTAAATTAATATTCATTTCATAACCTATATAATTAAATAAACAATAATAATTTCAAAAAAATATTTTAATATATATTTATCAATGTTAATTAAACAATATTATTTACGATCAATTTAAAATAATATATATATCCAATGTTTCCAGACCTCGAAAATTCAATTCCAATTACCAAAAATTTACGATTATAACAATATATACATAAAAAATAATATAATATATATATATATTATATTTATATATTATTTAATTATATATATTTTTTTTTTTTCTTTAAATTTATATATTATTTATAAATATATTGATAATTATATTATATTATCTTTTTTATTTTTTTATATTATAATATATATAATTAAATATATATATATATTAATATATATATAATCGTCATTTATTAATAATATATAGTTATTTAAACACTATGAATTTAATTAATATATTTTGTTTTTAATGAACATATTTATTTCGTTTCGGTTGTCGAAAATAAACGTCGGCGATCCTATCAGGAATTTGATTTCCGAATTATATTAATTCTAATAACATTTCAAGGTCATCAGAATTACATAAATAAATTGAATTCTATATTAGATAAATTATTCTAATCCCAATGAATATCATTCTTAACGAGGCAAGCACAATCACCAGTGGAATCAGGTGAAGTAAATCCCAGTCCTCTGTTGCCTTTGAGCGTAGCTCACCAATGCGCTTCGATAGACCTGGAAATGCCAAGGGTCTAGGCAACTGCACAGCACTGCAAGCGTCCGTCCCGGAGTCAACCAAATCTATTATATGCTACTAGTAACAAGTGCCACGCTACTAGTAACAAGAACGCTACTAGGGGCTCCTGGCCTTACTACTAGGAGCAAAGGACGCTACTAGGAACAAGTGCATCGCTACTAGTAACAGGTGCCTTACTAGTAGTAACAAGTGCCACGCTACTAGTAACAGATTCTCTGCACTTTGGCCAATAGATCGACCATGCGGCCTTCCAAGTCCCTAACAGGAATCAACTCTTCAAGACCTGCCCCTGTTGGTGGGTTGTTCTGTGGCTTTGGGAGAGTCATCTTACAACAAAGGGTTGATACGTGTTCCGAAAACCTTCACCCAAAGGTTTATAAGCCATTGGCTTCAAGCAACTCCAAGCAAGCTTTACTCCCAGCTGTCCTTCTCTTCCCCAATCGAGTCTCGTCGGGGTCGGAAGGGGCTTCCCATGTAGTAAACTTAGTACGTAGGTGTCAAACCAGCCTGAGGTTGATTGAGACAATCATGCGACGATGTGTCGATTGATCCACGAAGCCCGGTTCAAAGCCCCAGCCTTCCATCTCACCGATCGCACTGCTCAGGGCCTTGGGCGCTGAAGAAACGCACGAGAAGGCGTTGGTGACGAATACAACGCCAAGAGAAGCATACCATCTATTTCATTCTAATTCAAAGGTTAACATGACATGGAGAGCTCCTCCCATCGCTCCTCTCGTCGCCCTCAGCGGCCTCCAAGGCCTCGCTGGTCGCTGAGCTGTTGAGCCGCTGCAACGCCAAACGCTTCCTGGGCAGTGGACCTTCCTGTAGCCCCCAGGAAGGGGAACCAGTGGACCCGGACTGGAAATGCATCCCAAAGCCGGGGGCAAAAAAGGTTGCTGGATCCCGCTGGTCGTGGGACTGTGAGACCATAAGACTGTGTTCCAACGTTTCTCATCCCTACACCAAACTAACTTCGCTCGCTTGGTTTGCCCAGCAGAACTTAACTTGGCCCAGCGGCATGGACATCTCAGATCGGCCAGTGGAGATGGATGTCAGAACGGCCTCTCAATGCAAGATCAAGACTGTTTATGGAGAACCCCTCTTGTGGAGACCAAGTCGAAGCCAAAGGCGCACGCCTTCAGATCTACAACATCCAGAGGACAAAGGATATGATCCAAAAAAAGAAGGCCTTCCTATTATATGCTACTAGGAACAAGTGCATCGCTACTAGTAACAGGTGCCTTACTAGTAGTAACAAAAACGCTACTAGTAACAAGTGCCTTACTAGTAGTAACAAGAAGCTAGTAGAAACAAGTGCCTCGCTACTAGTAACAGGTGCCTTGCTACTAGTAACAAAAAGAATTCTTATGACATCTTATGCTCCAGAATTCGCACTCGCCCCGGCACCTGGATCTTCCTGTCCCAGGTCGCGAGAGCTTTGGCCATCTGTTCAACGAGAGAATTCGACATGTGGGCATGTCTGTGAAATCGATTCATCCGGGTTGCTGTATTTACTGCTTACTAGTAACAAGGAGCATTACTACAAGTATCAAGAAGCTGCTAGTAACAAGGTGCATTACTATTATTACTACTAGTATTAAGAAGCTGCTAGTAACAAGG